CTCTCTCTCTCTCTCTCTCTCTCTCTCTCAATAAATTAGAAATAAAAATATAACTCATACTCTCTCTCTCTCTAAATAAATTAGAAATAAAAAATAGCACATTCTCTCTCTTTCTCTATTTGATGTGATATGAATAACAAATGTTATGAGAGTTGCTATTTACATGTTTTACATTCTTGTAACTTGTATAGTTTTGATGATTTCAAATATTATTGTTTTATGTATAATTCTCCTAACACTTTTTGGAAGAGTTATTTTTACTCTTGTGTGTACTAACATTTCAGGAAAATCAAACTCCAAACTACAAAGACCTCAAATCAAATTCAACATGAGATACTTTATGTAGTTAAAAAACTTATATTTTTTCTTGGAATTAAGTTTGAAAGGGAGAGATTGTTATTGAGTGAATACACACACACTTAAGGAGATCTTGAGAAATTTGTACTGATCGTATAGGACGAACATAGTTCGTACGGGACGATCAAGTCAGTTATCTCCTTGTAAGAGCAATGGAGCAGGAGTCGAAGAAAATTTTTCTAAGTCCTGATCGTTCAGGACGAAGTGTATTCGTTCCAGGATGATTTGCACTCTGTAAAACTTTCGTCCGGACAAACCTTAACTTCGTCCCAGGATGAAGTGAACCGACTCTGAAAATTAAGTGTCGTTCTACAGTTTTTGGGAACCGACCTATGGAATAACCATTTGTACCGGACTAACCTAGTTCGTACGGGACGATGTGTGTGTACGAAGTCATTTCGTACCCATATACATTAGGTTCGTTTCCAACGCATTTAAGTAAAATCGTCCAAGACGATACACGATCATACGGGACGATCCAATTCGTATTGACTTGAAAATTTATAGTTTTTTTATGGTTTTTTGTGTCGTTTCCTATAAATAGTCCAAATTAAACTGCCACATAATCTTTTTGCCTACTGATCTTCGTGCCTATTGAAAGAAGAGTCAAAGAGATAGTGTAAGAGAGTGTTTAAAGGAGATTTCTTGCCATTGGAGCGTGAAGGTTTCACTTGGTACTCAAAGGTAAGATTCTTTACTCTTAGTTTATGATTACTTCACTCTTTTCTCTCTTCCTTCTAGAATTCTTACGAGAAGATCTGTCAAGGAGATCTGGTTCTCTACCGACACTTGGAGAGTGTGAACAGCCGAACGGTTCTCTGCCCACACTTGGAGAGTGTGAACAGTCAAAGGGTTCTCTGCCTACACCGGGAGAGTGTAAAAGGACGACGATTCTCTGCCAACACTGGGGATAGTGTAAAAGGACGATGGTTCTCTGCTAACACTAGGGATAGTGTAAAAGGACGAAGGTTCTATGCCAACACTTGGGATAGTGTAAAGGGACAAAGGTTCTCTACCAACACTTGGGATAGTGTAAAAGGACGACGGTTCTCTGTCGCACCGGGTAGTGGTGGAAAGAGTGTTTTGTAAAGGCTTCTCCGCCTTGCTGTGGGTGCAAAAGGATAGTCACTATTGATATTAGTGCAATACTCGGAGGGTGCCTCCGGGGAGTGGATGTAGGTCTGGTTTTGACCGAACCACTATAAACCTCATGTCTTTATTTTTCAGCTGCCTTTTTATTTTTAAAAAACTGTGGTTAAAAAATCTATTTCTACAAAACTCATTAAAGTTTATTTTTTGGTTTAAGAATTAAAAAGATGGATTAATTTTTAATTACCAATTCCCCCCCCCCCCCCCTCCTCTTGGTTAGCCGGGGGACATAAGCTTATGTTTAACAACCTAATTCATAGTAAACAAGTTTCAACAACAACAACATTAACCCTTTATGTAAATGTATGGGGTCAAATACATGAATCATTTTTCTCTATTAATTGTGTTATGTTAAGAGCCAATTTCTCATGATTTAAATCTAATAAAAAAATTGCATTTCTAATATTTTTTTTATTTAAGTTATTTTTTATATATTTCTATCTATCTTAATATAAGACAAATACAATACATCCACTCTCTTACTTGGATCATCAGAACTCATTAGGCCAATGTTTTATGTGATCAAATTATCTAAGCATTTGTTTGGGATAGCTTTCTTATTACTTGTTAAAGTAGATTTTCAATGCATAAATTTTAATTTTTGTACTAGAAAGGTTTTTTAAAAAGCACTATGAAAGTTTTCTCAAAAAAAGTCTTAGACGACTCTCTCTAATCTTATCCCTAATTGGAACTACTCTAACATTTTTACATGTATGCTCGTTTTTTATTCTATCTCTAACATATGAACAAGAGAAAATCAACTAACATTAAAAGAAAGAATTACAAAAAAAGAGGATGATAGAAGATTGAAATCCCTCAAAAGGAAGAGGTGAAGAAGAATAGAGAAAAAAAAAAAACATAAAGACAAAATTTCATTCAATAATCAAATTCATTAATATAAGACAAAAAAAAAATTTATAAGGGTGATTACAGAGCAGTGGAGGTTGGCTTTTGCGGTGGAATTTTGCGGAGATGGCTTCTGCTCGATATGTAAATAATAATGATTTGAATGGAAGCCAGCTTTTCAGAAATGACTATTTTTTAATTAAATTTAAATAAGAATTTGACTTTTAATTAATTCATATAGCTTATTCCATATAATGTGATAAAGGTTTAATTAGGGGTGTCAATATTTGACACGACACAAAAACCCGATCCGGAAAATCCGGGTTGGACCCGACCAGATTTCAAAACGGGTTGGGTTCAGGTTCCATAAATTGACCCGTTTGAAAAACGGGTCGGGTTCGAGTTGACTCGATGGGTTGCCGGGTCAACCCGCGAACCCGTTTAATTAATGTTTATTATCAGTAGAAGAAGACAAAAATATCTTAAATTAGATATGTGGAGATTTCATAGCAAATACTTTTTAATGGTCTTATATTTTATGTATAAAATTATTATATAACTTGAAAGATTTTTTATTTCATCTTTTAGAATAAGTATTCTATTTTTACATATAAAATTCTTACTATTTAATTATTACATATAAATTTTAAGATATTTTAGTAAATATGATTGCCCCTTTTTTTGTCCTTTCGGGCAGAGCAAAGTTCGTAGAGACCAAAAAAAAGGGCTCGAATATGTTTGATAGCTAGAATAAGAATTAAATGGGTCCATCCACCATATCTTTAAACCCCATCAAAATTTATTATATGTATTAAATTATGCTAATGGAAGATTTATTCTTTCACAACATCTCAAGGAGATGGCTAAAGACAAAACAGAAAAATCATTGGTTTAATGGCAAAATCCCCTTTAACTCTAGAAATAATGACTTGAGGGATCTACAACTTTCTATTCCTCCTGGTCCTTGTGGATAATCCAAAGAGCTAAATTCAAATGGCTCTTTCATAAGTTAGATGACCTAAATTCTTTTATGCAAAATCAAGTCAAAGCAATACTAGAATCACATTAAAGAGGTCTCTTCTCCTTTGGCGAACTTATCTTCCACAAAAGAATTTTCAAATGACATCGCTGCCCACTTAAGAATCTTTTTAACACTACTAGCCCCATAATGGATAATTAGAATCAATTCCCCCTAACAAAACCATATCTACCCACCTCCTTAACCTCACCGAACATGTGACAAATTTAGAAATCAAACTCATTATTTTCTTTGCTCCTAAATCATCTACACTTAGTCTGGATGGCTATACTTTTGAATTCTATCATGCAGGTTTGAATATTGTGGATTATATGTTTACAAGCCTTTTTTTGCAAAAGCAAACAACTATCTATAAGGAATAAAGTTTCAACCATTGATTTAATTCCTAAAACCCTATATGTTAACAATATTTTTGAATTTAGACTAATATCCCTTTGCAACACATTATATAAAATCATTGTTGCCAACATACTCAAATAGATGATGCCACATATCATCCATCTTAGCCAATTTGCCTTCATTAACAGAAGAATTTCCATAGATAATATTATTCTCCTTCGAGTTTTTGGGGGAGTTCAAGATAAAGGGAACTCGTGATCAATTATTTGCTAAACTTGACATCTATAAACTATAAAGAATTTGATAAGGTCTCAAGGTATTTTCTACTTCAAATGTTGAAACATAAGTTTGCGGAACTTTCTATTTCTTGGATTAAATATTGTATAAATGATATTTACTAACATATAAGTATTAATGGCACCATTGAAGGTTTCTTCAATTCATCTTCTAATTTGAGGCAAAATTTGTCCTTATCTCCTTATCTAATAATACAAATGGCCTATCCAAATTGTTTGAAAGGTCTATTATAATGAAGAAGTCATATACTTGTATCAAAATGGATAGCTATCACTTTTCTCATCTTCTTCATGCATAGGATCTCCTAGTTTTTGGCATAGCTAACATTGATAATGCAACTTCTCTAAATGGCATCTTATTGGAATTTGGAAACCAATCTAGCTTACATAACAATTGGGAGAAGAGATATATATTCTTCTCCCCTCACACCACCCTCTTTGGAGCTTTATAATACTTTAAACCTTAGCATTGTAATACATATAGCTACATCATGCAATTTCAGACACTGTTCATGTACAATCCCATTGTTGGATTATCATTGTGAAGTTCTATTAGAAAAACAAATTTGTATTTTATCTTCTGTTGTTGTCCCGGTAGGGTCCCTCACTTTCTTGATCCTTCAGCAAGCCTAGAAAAGCAAGCAGACCGAAAAAGAAGAAACCACCAGACCAATTAGGTCCTCCGCCACCTCCGCCGCCGCCACCGCCATCATCATCCCGCGGAGGAAAGCCAGTACCACCATCATCAAGCTCTGGTGATTTCTCCTTATCTGAAAATGACACAAATTATCTTATTTTCCCAGTCAAACTGAAGCTACTTTCACTTAATAATTCACAAAATGTATTGAATATAAGCCTACCACAAAAGCCACTTCTATAGAATTTGTAATACTAATAAGAAAAAACAGGGGTTCTTTCTTTGATTGATAGCCAGTGGCCATGAAAAAAAATCTATAATACAGAAATGTGATGTTGCTTACTTTGTATGGGAGCATTACTGATTGTGGTAGATTGGCGTTGAACAGTCTGCGTTTGTTCTGCAGCACATTTTGCATTCTGCTGTTGGAAAAAAAAAATCGGATTAGTGACTCAAGATAAAAGAGTTGTTATCTCACATTTTGGTAGACTTTTTATGTTCATTTCCCCTCATAAGAATTTGAAAAAAAAAACAAGGAAACGAAGCAAGAGAAGGGAATGAAGAAAACCCATCTAAAGGTTCATTTGGTTGCTTTTAAGTTAGAAAACACTTACTGAAAAAAAAGAGATTTTTACATCATTTAGTTCAATGCAATCAGAAACCATCATTCATTTGCTGAATTCATTTTCATACACAAAGGCTTAAGATTAGATTGAAGAAAAATCAAGGAACGGAATTGAAGCCCCAACGATTTATGGGCCGATAATGATTCTGCAATCACTAAATAAAGTTTTGCAACCTTCCTTTTTCATTTTTTTTAACCAAATTCCCATCATTCAAACAGAATAAATGAGGGGAATCAAAATCAGTCATTTCCAGAACAAGCTCTCTTCTCTTTAGCATATTCTTATAATCTCCAAAGAATATAAGAACTAGACTCAATGATTGTATTTTAAATATCTCATGGTAATTCAGAAGAAGTTGACTTTATTTCAATAACTTAAGCTTATGGCCCATAGTATTTATGAATGTATGTGACTTGAACACCATCTGGAAGCTAACGTGTCTCCATTATAGAACCTAACATACTGAATTGAAAATCAAGCAACAATCAGTATTGATAAGAACAATGCCCATCACAATCAAGCTACTATTTGTCCAATCTCTAATCATTTTAGGCATTAGCTAGTATTATAAGTCCTAAAAATATGATGAGTAACAAAACATAAACCGTAAAAGTTCTTATTGCAACTTCCCAGAGTTGCTTAATGATATATTAAATGTTCCTTTTTAGAGTTGTAAATTAAAATATCGTCAAATTAGGCAAACACATTTTCGCATGAAAAGTTCGAAGAAAATGGTTCATGATTCCATTAAAGTACTTAGGGCATTAGTTAATCCAAAAGAATCACAAGCCATTCACCCTTCATCTTAAACATAGTCTTTTATTCACCCCTTTATTTCATCCTTTATGGTAACCACACCTTGCATGAATCTTTGAGAAAACAAGCCCCAATCATCATGTTTTACACATCTAATCTCAATACAAGGAATTGATACTTAATAGCAATTTCCTCATCACTCACTATCCACACACATTCTTTTAAGCCCTATCCTTAGGTATAAATATTGCAAGCATAATAGATAGACTCATGCCTCCCAAATAAATTATTTCCTAAGCAATTTATCCAACAGCCTTTTGAGTTTAGCATGTTTGGCAGAGATCATTCTATAATATGATAAGGCAATAATGATCTAAGAATCAAATCAATAGCATGTTGTACATTCTTAAACGGGGTTAATTCATCTGATAGTTCATCAAGACATCATTCCTTAAATTCAAGAATTAATTAATTAACATTCCAAGGGACAAATATACTCCTTTTCATATCTAAATTCAATTCAATTCAATAGCTATTAAGGTATAAAATTACTCCAGCTTTACTCTCCTTTTTCAAAAGCTATTGGCTCCAGATATGCAAATGCTTCTTTTAGTCCGTTAGAGCACTTAATTCTACTGATGCAGAAGAACTCTTAAGCTTGGTAGGTTTCTCCCATTGATCTTACACACATCAGTATTGATCTTCCCAAAATATATCACATATAAATTGCACAATCAAAGTCTGATAAGATTTCATACCAAGTATTATCATTTGGGCAAGAAGTTGAATGGATATAAAGCATCTTTGAGTAATGAAAATTATCCTTATCTAAGTATCTTTGAGGGCTTAAGGAGTGATTCAAGTTTTAAAATCATGTGTTTGATGGTTAAGTTGGCAACAACAATCATGCAATTTCCACTATCAATAATGAGTTTACATAATTTTTCATCATGCTTAAAGTGAATCTCAAAGATTGCAATTTGTTTCTAATCAAGTTTACCATTAAGTGTGGCAGTCCTGCATCACATGAGAGTTCTCAATTGAAGCAATTTTAAAATCACTAATTTAACCATCTAATTCATGCACATGTTCTTCATCATCATTATATTCTTCTTCATTTTTAATATGAAGGTTTCTACAAGCCCACTAACTTGCAAAGTGAACCATTTGGTGACATTTAAAGTACATCTAAAAAATTGAACTTTTTTTCAATCAAGATTGACATTAAGTGTGGAAAAAATTCATAGCCTGATACTAAAAGAGTTCTTAATCGAAGCATTTTCAAAATCACTAATTTCACCATTGAAATCATCCTCATCTTCTTCCACATTATTTTCTTCAATTTTAATATGCAGGTTTCTATCATAACATTAACTTGCAAAGTGAACCATTTGATGACATTTAAAGCAATCCTTGGAAAAACTTTTGGATCAAAATGCAATAGCTACCAACTTTTATTCAAATATGTGTTGATGAAATAGTTACTACCTTCATGATCAATCATTAGAGTTTTATTACCTTGGCGAATAGAGGTGCTCCTAGTATATGAACAAATTCTTTAGGTGAGAAATATTTTATAGTTGTTCAAAATCAAAACAAGTTCAAGACGCTCTTCAAACGAGTTATCTATATGTGATTTCATCTCATTTAAATTCAGAACTCAAGCAAGATCTAAGTTTAGAAAGCATCTCCTCTAAAATCCTCTCTAATTTCAAAATGTAACAATAATCATTCAAAATTATTCACGGATCAGTTACAATATTTGTTCCTTATTGAGTTAAATTCAACGAGAAATCGATCGATCCCAGTAGGATAAGGATAATGTTTTGCAAACAAATGTTTCATCTCAGCCCACGTAATGGTAGGTACTAGCTTTGATCTTTTTCTTTATCTCTTAATACATTCATTACATTTAAGCATGGTTCATCAATTTCAATTCCAAGTAACGGTAGGTATTAGCTTTGTTTGTCAATCCAAGAAGTTATCCACATCTATTATCAAATCAAAAAAACTATAGGATCTATCCTCGAATAGAAGAAAGACATATCAATTTGAACTTTCCTAATAATTTCATCATCAATATCATGGGTTGATGTCTATGTCTATCATAATTTTCATTAACATAGTCCCTATGATGTCCATCATGGTTGTTCCTTTCAAGATGAATTGCTCATCCCCTACAAGTTTGTGAATGGGTTCTTCATTAAAGCTAGATTCATTATTTGGTTCTTAGTTGACTAGTTCCCATGTGTTTGGCCACACTAAACTCATTTATTTCAGTGCTCATTTGATTTTGTTTTGCTAGCAACTCAATTAATTGATTTTACAAAATAATTAAAATTTCATAAATTTGGTGATTTGATAACTAACCTTAATAATTGTCCTACTTCTAAGTGACATATTGACACGACCTAAAGCTTTTATACCAATTTGACGTAAAACACTTACAGGTACACGGTTCACCAATGCAACCCAGGGTAAGATGCACGACGAAGCCAAATTTCACATGTTACCAACTCTCAACTTAAACAAATATTAGTCATTGTTGATGTCAAAAATAGCAAACATGCCTATTTCATTACAAAAAATAAATTAATAGTTACCAAAATTTAAAATATCACAAAAACAAAAATTGAAAGTAAATATTAAATTTCAACAATGATTAGAAGTCATACTACAAAAGGAATCTAGCACATACACCTGTGGTTAACAAGTTAATAATAAAAAAAGGGATAGCCATCACCCAATTGAACCAAGCCTGACACCAACACAAAGATACTCACCCCAACTATTGGTCATCAAAGCATGCAAGCAATTGAATAATCCACCTTCAACAACACACAAGTATTAAGTTATTGAATCATTGAATAAATGTTAAATGATTCGTGGGGTTTTATTTATATCCCAAAAATAGAAACTTCTCAAAATCCATCGGGATTTGGTTAAATAAAACAGTTTTAATTCATCCTCCAGGCATTCTAGGAGCACATTTGTAAAGTCCAACTCAGAAAATTGACAATAAACACAATTTGAAAGACGGAGGCGATAGAAAGCAAGTTAGGAAAAACTGCAAATAGAAATATTTTTACCCAAATTATATAGTCCCAAGAAAAAGTGGTGTGAAGAGATGAAAGGGCAAAAGTCGGCAATAAGAGTAGCAAAAAATAGAAATCAGTTGTGACAGACGGCAAGAAATAGGACTGATAGAAATCAATGGAAGGAAATATAACACAATAAGACAACAAAGCAGAAACAGTGCACAAATCATTATAAAAATAGAAAGAGAAGTGGAAAACATAGTGAAACAGATGTTCTGCCAATTTCTTCTCGAAATTCTCAAATTTAGCAACTATAAAACTAAATCTAAACTCAAAATTTGTTGAACCTAGAAGTCGATGGACAAAGTCAAAACTTTAGAATTGTCATCCAATCCAAACAAAAAAAGCAAAACAATATATAATACATTCCATTCTCATCGGAATCTTCGTCATAGGCATAAGATACACAATACAAACAAAAAAATACAAACCTATATCATAAAGCTCTAGCATATTGTTTAACGTTTGTTCTTCGGATGAAATACACTTTCAAATTTCATCACATGGATCTTCAAATTGATGAAATTCATCATTTTTTATCTTAACCTTTTATGATTCGTTATTAAATGTGTAGAAGACTTTTAGAACAAAGGAAATTTTCTAGGATGAGGGCTAGGTTTCTCAAAGAAAATATGTTGCAATTAGAATTTTCCTCCTTAATTTCCCATCAAAATTTTTTCCCCTCCTCTAAAAGACTCAGTTTGCTCCTGATACACTCGACCTCTTAAGTCAAGAAAATAAGGGTTTGGATATCTACCACAATCGTTGCCACTAGAGCACCCATGGGTTGCCAGGACAATTGCTATAGTGCAATGTCTTGCTACAAAAATGCATCATGCAATAATATCAAATCGAGGACAGAAAGGAAATATAAGAAGGATTTGGATAATTCAGTATTGGTTTCCTTGCAAAAATAAAGGTATTTAAATAAGCAATTTATAA